CTTTTGGTTGGTAACTATTCCAAACAAGTTATGTTGTTATTTAGGAGCATCCAGGGGTGAAGGTAAGGGTTTTAGAAAAGTAAAGGGTCTACTTCACTTTGTAAATGTGTTGCATGTGTAGAATGCATAGAAAGGGGTAGAACTTCAATCATGTAGTTGTGGCCATTCTCTAGACTTTTTGACACTCCTCACAGAGATGCCCTTGCTATGAAGTGCTCAGTTTTTTGGTTGTAATTTTAATAGTTATAGGCATGTGAGCTCCTAACTACTAGGAGTTTACATGAATTAATCATGTAGAGAAAGATATCTAGATTTCAAAACTGAAGTACATAATTTTTTTACTATGTAAATATTGATGAACAGATAACCATTTCAGATAGAAAACAGATACTGGGACATTTACTCATGACAGTATAGGTAAAAATATACCATAGGAATGTGCAAAATACTCCTTGTCTTAGAATGTTAAAAGACGTTTAACTTTTTTTTTTCATCCAGGAACAATCTGTTCATCTTAAGTTACCATGGGAACTGGTGTATTCAAGAGCTTAAAAAAATAGTTTTAGTTGCAAAGATCCCTATCTTGCTTAGTGGAAAGTGCTGGTTTTAATATTATTTAAAATACTATTTTGGGAATTAGTACTGGTATTAGTGCTTTTTTTTGTAGAGTCTAATTGCATAAAGCAATTTCCTATTGGAGAATTCAGTAGTAAATAATTGCCATTTGGATTAAGATATTTCTCACTTGCAATGAGAAAACAGTGAGAGGCATAACTTCTGTACAGGCATTTGGAGTTCTATTTATATAGAGATGTTATTGCTTATCAAATCGGTCTGTCTGGGTTCAAGATGACATTAGTGCAGTACTGTGTTGATGTTTTGATGCTAGGCAAGATCACATAATTCAGTGGGTCGCAAACTTTGTGCTCCTGGGGACTGCCTCTAATAATGAATGAATTTCTGTGATGCCATCCTCCCCCCAATAAAATTGGCTGATATACTACTGCTACATTCAAAGCCACCAATTGCATGACACTGGTAAATGTAAGATGATTCACTATCCCAGTGGGAAAGTTGATGGAACAAAACTACGGACACAGTTTGTTTCCATTAATGAAAACAATTTGTTGCCCTGTTCACCTTCATAAATGATCAGCCTCGAGTTGCCAGTCCAGTCCTGGAGATTTCTATTCACCCAGTAATATTAAACAGATGATACATTTGCAAAATCCAAACTAAAAAAAAAAAAAAAGGTGAGGTTTCCAACACCCCATCTGCTGCTTCTGTGAAGTTCATGTAGTTCAACTGAGAAAATGAAAAATTTGTTGCTTGAGAACAGAGCTGGAAGAAAACCAGCTTGGCTGTCAATCAGGGATACTAAGGTGCCAAACTGGCACCAAATCAAGAATAATCCAGCACGGATGAGCAAAAGTGTTTGCTCAGACACAGAAATATATATTTCCATAAGAGGCACATTAAAATGTATACAAAGAACAATGATAATAATCAAAGAAATGCTATTAAAATAATTGGTAAACAATTAGGGATGATATGTTGGAGTTGATGTGTCCGTATTCATGATACATGATAGTCCTCAACATTCAACCATGTTTAGAGACTAGCCAGAGTTACAACGACACTGAAAAAAGTGACTTATGACCATTTTTCACAATTACGACCATTGTAGCATCCCCTTGGTCATGTGATCAAAATTTGGTCAGTTAGCAACTGACCTGTATTTATGACTGTTGCAGGATCCTGGGATCATCTGATCATTTTGTGGGACTTTCTGACAAGCAAAGTCAATTGACTTAACAACTGGGTTACTAACAACTGCAATGATTCACTTAGCAACTGTGGCAAGAAAGGTCATAAAATGAGGCAAAACTCACTTAACAACTGTATTGCTTAGCAACGGCGGTTTTGGACTGCATTGCGGTCATAAGTTGAGGACTATGTATTCTCAGATAGCGATGGCATTTTCCCTTACCAACACACCCCTTCCACCAAATAATCTTTATGCAGACCCTAGTGAAAGATCTGAAGGGTTAGAAAAAGTCTTCAGCATCAATCCACAATTCTTTTTTTTCTCCTGGTTCTTGAGAGTTTCTTGTTTATTAATATTACCATCACCTTACTTTTTAAAAATTTCTTGGGTAGTAGAGAATGTATTGTAACAAAGAAACCCAGAACAAAGATAAGCGTGTGCCACTTTTTCATTTAGAAACCTATAATTGTTTTTAAATTATGTACTATCCTGAAGCCCATTAGTTCCTTCTGGGAAAGCCAATGTTCTCCCATTCAAGCAGTAAAAATGGTGTGGAGGAAAGGTGACATAGGTGTTGTAACCTGAGCACAAAATAGAAGCCTACACAGTTTCATCTTCAGATTGAGGTCAGCACAGTTGCGTATTGTCCTTTTCTTGACAAGTTGCCAATGCTATTTTTAATCTTAACTCAGACAAGTGGGGGGGGGAGACAAAACAGAAGCTGTAACTACTGACAAGACCCAATATTGTTTTCATGGGTGGAGACAAGGGCACTTAGCCAATAGTTGACAGAAGGTGAATTAGCCTGGCTCTAGCAGTTAGCCATTGCTCCTCCAAAGTTTGGTTGATCTTCTCAGACGTTCCCTCCCATCCCACAGTTTGAGAATCCCTGATACAGTTCATGTACTATTTTCACTCTGCACTTCAGCAATGATAGTGTCATGGCATGATCTACTTCATAACATTCCTGTTATTGCTAAAATGATAGAAAAGTCAAAAAGAAAACAATTTAGCTACAGATTTAACCTCTGAATAATTATTGTGACATGGTTGCTGTGCCAAAGCTGATCTTTCGTATGATCTATCACGTTAGGTCTCGAACAGAAAGCAAACATACTGAAAAATTAAATAAATAAATAAATAAAAAAAGACCAAACGGTTGTAGATAAGAATAACATGAAGAACACAGAAGGGATAGCAGACAATAGGAAAAGATTAGCAAATTATGTGGGTGGCTCATTTTATTCTTTTGCGATAAGGATGTTCAATCTGTCCATCTCTCCAGGATGTCTCCATTTTAAAAGATAAAAGTAGACAGTCATGTGGCAGGAGAAGACATCATTTTTAGATAGTCAAAACCATCTAAACAGTGTGAAGAAGGCATTCATTAATCATTTGACACAGATGTTTATACCCTTCAAATTGTGTAATCCTTTGTCTTCAAAGCCTGTCTCTTTATTTTGCTACATCATTTCTATGTCTACTGCAAATCTTTGTGTTTTGTTATTTTTCTCCAGTTTTTTCTTCTTCTCTTCTGCTGTCTCCAAGTACTGAAACTTCTACTGTCCAGATTTTTTTAATCTTTCATATCAATAGTTGTTAAGTCTGGGGGAATATGGCAGAAGCTTGTCTGTATAACTTCTAAAATCCCAGATATTAATAACACTTAATTTTGGAATTTTCTATTACTCTTTAAAGGTAATATATTTGTTTAGCCTTGTTACCCAAGGTAATATTGGTAAGCCAGAAAAATGAGCAAGAAGTAGATAAAATGGCAAAAACTCAGAAAGAAGTCATACAATGCACTTATATGCACTTGTATCCACTTAAAGACTGAAAAGAGGAAAAGGAAAAGCAATTGTCTGGTTTCTGATGTGTATATATTATAATATTGTTTAGAATTATATTACTGTGTAACAGGAAGGAAACAATTGCAAGAAGCAATGAATCAGAAGAGCGTAGATTTAGAAGTGGTTAAAACCTATCAACTATTTCATTTAGCATATAAGTGCATACAAATAGAAGTGAATTGAAGTGAGAGCCACCAGTGGAAGTAGGCCAATGTATCAAGAGAAGAGAACATAGCATTTCAGAGAATGCAATTCAGTGGTGAGAAAAGTAAAGTTTTACACTTAGGCAAGAAAAATCAAATGCAGAGGTATAGAATAGATGATACATGGCTCAACAGCAGTAATTGTGAGAGGGAGTCATAATGGACAATCACTTAAGTATGAGCCAGCACTGTGCTTCAGCTACCCAAAAGGCCAATGTAGCCCTAGACTGGATCAATAGAGGGATGGCATCAAGATCACATGAAGTATTTGTACTGCTATATACTGCCTTGGTGAGACTACACTTGGAATACTGCATCCGGTTCTGGTCACCACAATCCAAAAATATGTTGAGACTCAAGTCTAGTAAGAGTGCAGAGAAGTGCAACAAAGATGATTAGGGGTCTGGAAGGTAAAACATAGGAAGAATAGTTGCAGGAATTTGATATATCTAGTCTAACATGAAGGATTGGGGTGATATAATATCAGTTTCTGGATATCTGAGAAGCTGTTACAAAGAAGAGGAGGATCGCTTATTCTCCAAAGCACCTGAGACAAGAAGTAACGGATGAAAACGTATCAAAGAGAGATCCAATCTAGAACTAAGAAGAACTTTCCACAGTGGGAACAATTAATCAGTGAACCAGCTTGCCTTCAGAAGTTGTGGGTGCTCCATCACTGGAGGTTTTTAAGGAGAGATTGTACAGTCCTTTGTCCAAAATGATATAGGGGCTTCTGCTTGGATAGAGAGTTCTCTTACCTGCTCATGTTTATGTAAGTCAATACCTATTCAGAAAATTCTACAACTTTCAGATACACTGAATCCTTTATTATTCCTTTTATCCTGACTTACCTAGAATATAGTATTTTTTTTGTATCTGAAAACCTTAACATTGGGTATATTGGCTCCTCAGCATATGTTAAGTGCATTTAAAAAGGAATGCTGAAATTTCAAACATAAAACATACTGTACACTGAGTACTGAAAATATGACTATGCCCCAAATTAATTTGATGATAAGGTGCACTAAAGTGGTTGATGGAAAAAACCCCAATAAACAAACAGAAAAAACCCTATACATATGGAATTAGAATTATGGACAAATTTGTTTTCATATTATTAGATTTAGTAATGATAACATATAAGCTAATTTTTTTCCATATTAATTTATAATATAACAGGCATATGAACAATCATGTGTTTGCAGGCCTGAAAATGCAGGTGAGTTTTTATAATTTTAGTATAAATTATTATAATATATACAGTATTAAATGAATCCTCTTAATGTATATGTTGGGGCCATGCATGTTTTATTTTCAAAGCATTTTGGACTTTCTTACCTTCTTGCTGCGCATTAAAGTAGCAGCATCCTTTTTATAGACTTTAACTTGAGCTTGGAAAAAAAATGCTGCTGCTTTAAGGAATCAGCTTATAATGCTGCTCTGAAAGACAATGGAAAAAGATGGCTTGTTTAATTGATATCAAAGAGCAGTACTCATATGAATTAGTTTCAAATGTTCACAGCCCCATATATGTGAAACAGCATGCAACTGACTCCAGCGTCTCATGAATACCATTGTGCCCTTAGAAATTAAGTATATATCATCTTCAATGATTTCATTTATAAAGATAATTGCTAACTTCTTGTTCAGAGATGTAGCAGTGTTTCTAAGGTGTTTCAAGTCTGCTAGTCTCATAAGAAATTATAGGATAAAGGGAGTGGTGTGGTGGCCTAGAGGTGGAGCTCACACCTCACAATCAGGAGGCTGTGAGTTCGATCCTAGGTAGAGGCAGATATTTCTTTGTCTGAGCACAATGAAAATATATTTGCTGAACAAAACTCTGCATTGGTGACAAGGAAGGGCATCCGGCCAGTAAACACTCTTCTAGCTCCATTCAGTTGCCCAGACTCCACTCCGTAAGAGACTATGGGGTCGTTAAAAGAAGATGCTTATAAGAAGTTATAGGATAAATATATGCATTGGCCTGTGTAGCAGCATTTGGTTTTCACATTGCAATTATGATACAGAAAGCCATTGAATCTCTCCTCATGGTGCTATGAGAAATTCAGAATGTTTAACAAAGGATCCCCAACATTATGAGAAATCTGTCATATTCAAAAATCAAAATGTTTCAGGTTTGGCAATTATGTTTAATGAGGATAACAATAATAATACAAATTATTTTAATTTGGAAGGCTATGGGCATAGAATGGCTGAACATTGGGTGTTTGTTTTTTTCATTTGGAGATTCATGGTGATCTACATTGCAATTTTTGATCAGCTCTGCAATATTCCACTGTCCAAAGAAGTTGGAAATATGAATGGGTATCCTTGCAGATGTTCTAGGAGTGTTCATATTGTATGGAATAAAGTGGCCATAGAGCAGCTTTTATCCTTTAGTATAGGAATGGAAGTATAATAGCAACCTTTTATTAACTCAGTACTCACAAGGTTCAAAATAGCTACATTCAGCAGGGTTCAAAACCCTTGTACTTCTGGTAATGAAATATTCAAAAATGATGACTGACAGATTGTTTTTCAGATTTTTATGAATGAAACAACATTCATAGTATTGAACAATGATAATATTGTAAGTCTTTCATCATGTGTAGGCTTGCATTCAGTAAGACATGCTCCCAACAAAGCAGCAATTAACTCTAGTTGTCCTTGAGCGAGAAAAGAGATCATTGTTCAAGAAAAGAAATCATTGCAATTGTTTGGTGTTCAGGTTAAAAGTATGAATTGATGGAATAGATTTCAGATTGAACTTGAAGCTTACAGAAGAAAATGGCATACATGAACGTTTGACAAAATTTAAATTAAGTTTTAACAAGGGTAGCATAAAATATTCCTCCATGTGTCTTGCATTAAATATTTTGAACCATGACTATAAGGAACTGTAATAGCAATGAGCAATTAGATTGCTTATTAGTTGCTATTCTGATTCATCCACTTGACAATATAAACTTATTTTAAGAAAAAAATAGACTGCAGCCTGTATTTGAGAGTAAATTTCAGTGATTCCCATAGAAGAGAATATATGTAGCTCATGGGTTGAATTATGGAGTCATTGGTGCTTTCTACGCTTGGATGTTTATTTGGAGATGTTTCATTACCCAACTAACTAACATCATCAGAATGAGTAACTGTGAGGTTTGCTCCCTATTTATATATGGTAACTTGCCTTGCCACTTTTGGTGGGGATATGATTTTCTCCTCGATAGTTCCCTGATTAAGGTATTGTTTTCTACTTGATTGTTGATTCTTCCCAGTTGAAACTGTGGTTGAGTCTGTCCATGCATTAACTCAAGGAGTTTAGTGAGTCATGTTTCTTCAAGGGCTTTTGTTGGTTTCTTTGCTATGATGATTTGTTTGTATGGTTGTAATAGTCTGCTGGTTGTTTTTGATATGTTTTGGTGACTGGTTGTGTTAACTTTTTCATAGCTTGTTTTGATTGTGTTGTAGTGGATTGAGTAGTCAGGCCCTTTTTGATAGTTGCGTGGGTATCTATTTTGTTGGAAGATGTTGGAAGATAGGCAATTTATTTCCTTTTTCTTGTGTTCTGGATTGCTGCAGTGATTTGTACTGTTCTGAATAATGTTCTTATTCAAAGGAAATGATGGCAAATTAAAAACACAAGTCTTTTGAAAAACAACCCACACTAACCAAGTGCTCCATTACCAAAGTAACAATCCTACCTCCTACAAAAGGAGCTGTGTAAGAAGCAAAGCAGAAAACATCTTAATCAAGGAACTCCCAACAAGAAACTCATGTTCCCATCAAAACTGGCAGGGCAAGCTACTGTATATAGACAGGGAATGAATCCCACGCTTACGATATTACATACAGTAGTTGGGTAATGAAACATCTGCAAAAAAACAACCAAGCTCAGAGAATATCAAGTACTCCACAAATTTCAGGAACACAATTTTCAGTATTCTTTCCTTGTAGAGACACACAAGGTCACATTGTAAGTTTAATATGATATGGTGGTTCTCAACCTTTTCTTCACCACGGACCCTCTTTAAATACCTTTTGTGGCCATGGATCATGGGCACAGACCTCCAAGACTTAACCCAAGATTTAAATCATAATATTTCTTCAAGCCTTCACGGACTCCCTGTGATGGAGTTGTATACTCCCCAGGGGTCCACAGACCACAGGTTGAGAATCATTGTGATAGATTTTACAGTATTATGTATGTTTTGCTTATGACTATCATTTAAAACTATTTTCATTTTAATTTAGATTTTACAGAAGACCTGAGGAAATCAAACATAATTTTTGTACTTGGTGAGTAACAAAAGACATGTCCAGACATATTTGTTTTATACATGCAATAAATCTTTGGACAAGTACTAATTAATTGCATAAATTTGTCTACATGTGGTGTCTTTTTTAGATTCTCCAGGATCAGAACCATTGAGAATAAAACATCACATAACACTATAAAGAAGAAACTTCATAATTACCAATAGGGGTATTTAATTAATATCCAAATTAGTAGATGTTTAGAGTAGTTTTTTTCCTGCACAAGATGTATATATACATGACAAGCAGTATAGTGCTGTGAGTACGGTGCTGAACTAGGAGTGGGGAAACATTTTGAGTCCTCCTTTTCAAACCGAAACTACCTGTCTGACTTTGGGCCAATCATTTTGTTTCATTCCTAGACTGGGGAGTTTAAAAAGTACTGACATAAAATAATATATGATTGTGGATGAATAATTGGTATTATTATTACCAATCTAAATCATTCCACGTCAGAATTAAAGCCTCTTCATTGAAGACTTTGGAACATAATGTACATGATGCATATTTCAACCAACCTACTCTAGCCAGTATGGTACATTAAGGTCCAAAATCTTCAACGATGAAGCTTTAATCCTGACATGGAATGATTTAGATTGGTAATAATATATGTATACATACTTATCCACAAACATATGTATGTCAGTATTTGAGCATGTGTAAGCAACCTTTCCTTAAAGAGCTCTTTTCCTTTCTACATTGTGTTACCTGTAGTACTAAGCAAATAGTGCAGTTGAGATTGCTTGTGAATCATAAAAGAGTGGGGCAAAATGAGAGAAGCATATTATTATATTACTGAGGGGGGGGGGAAACATTGTGAATATAAGTTGGCTTTTAGCTTCATTACTCATTTAAACCAAGCCTCAAGAAAGGAAGAGCTCTTGGCAGTTAAGAATATAGGACTCTTGTTCATTATTCATCATCTGGTAACATGCATAGGAACATTACAACTCTGTGTTCTCTGTAGTGATTTAGTCACAGATGGATAGAATCACTTGATCCTGAAAGTCATTAGTAACACAAATAATCCTCCTTGGGAGAAAATGAATAAACCTTCAATATATAACCAGGGGAATCCTGAGAAGCTTCATTCTCAATTTGAAGCGATAGAACATGATGAAAACACAGCCCACCAGTATCAATGTTGAATTCTTCTCAGTTGTTAATCATAGTTTGGAGCTAATTAAGCTTTTTGCAATTCTAGAATTCATGCAAACTCCTAAAAATGTGGAGAAGTTGCTATGGCAATTAGGTACATAACACAAAAGAGATGTGCAGCATTTTAAAAATAATAATGCTTCCAAAAGAAGAGCTAATAAACATCTGCCAAAATGTTTTTTAATCATTGACTGGAACAACATAAATTATTTTATTGGAGACCGATGTTCAAGGTTCAAACTCTCAATATTTGGAAGGATACACAGATGGTTCTCATTCAGCAACCACTCATTCAGTGACTTTGAAGGTAGACTAAACCTGAATGAGGGAACTGTTTCTCTGAATTGTGCCCATGACAGTAGTGCTGCAGTTCCATGATCGTGATTCAGGCTCTTGGCACCCAGCTTGCATTTATGATGGTTGCAGCACCACATGGTTACATGATTGCTCATCTATCTGTATCCATCCATCTATCATCTATATCTATATCATCTATATATCTCTACCTATTAATCATCTATACAGCTACCCATCTCACAAAAGTATGATTCAGGGTGCAACAATTAATTAAAAAGAAAACCAATAACTAGATGAAAAGTTACCACTAAAAACTACAAAACCATAAAAAACATATGAGCAGGAGAGGATGTTGTTAATCCAAGTAAGGGAACAATCCCAGTCCCGATAGCAAAGCCAGATCTTGCAGAATATGGAAAGAGAGGTAGCTAACCTCATTTCTGGTGGGAGAAGATTCTTCTTCTTCAGGAAGTAACAATTTCATTCATAATTCTGTTAACACATGACAATGGGCTTTTTAATTAATTTATTTATATATACTAGCATATTTATATAGCTATCCATCTCACAAACATGTGACTGGGAAGCTTACAGCACAGCAACAGTTCAAAACTCCATATCAATCTATAACACGGGCGTCAAACTCACAGCGTCACATTGCTGTCACGTGACATTTTGCTACGTTTCCCCCCTTTGCAGAGCTGGGGGTGGGCGTGGCCTGTGTGTGTGATGCATCTGGCCTGCAGTCCGCCAGTTTGACACCCCTGATCTATAACAATCAAAAATGAATAAACAGATAAACCCAAGGAAGTAGAAGGGCATCTCTTTAATCTCATATAGCTAGCTACCTTATAGGTTATCCCTGAGATCCCAAAAAACTGGTGAGAAGGCCTTCTGAAAGAATAATATTCCAGATGGCAGGGTCCATAGCAGAGAAGATGCAGAGCCACCTGGGTCCCATTAGATGCAACTTTTTTGGAGATGGGGCCCTCAACATATCCCTCCTGCCTGACCTGCCCAGGCAAGCAAGAGAAACTATAGAAGGACATGCACAAAATACTGTTGCTGATCCACAAGGGAACGAACCAAACCTTCTGATAATTTCCCTGATCTTCTGTGAGCAAGGAAATCTCTGAATCTGACAATATACCACAGACAGATCAGCCTGTAATTGGATATGTTTGCCCTCTCTTTTGTATGGCACTGAATATTTCCCTCCATTGTTCATCTGCTGCTGGCAACTGTCTGATAAATGCCGATGCAAAAAAGAAACACATTGCCAGAAGCTGCTCCTTTCTTACTGTCCTCTGAAGGGCCCATGGAGGCGTTCTTCTCCAGCTGCTTAAAGCAAAAGGGGTCAGCCTACGGACACAGGTGCAGGACCCCACACTTTGATGTTGTCCCTGGAATTGCCCTGGAATTCAACAATGGAGAAACACTTGATTTATCTGATTTCTTTAACTAATATTACCAAAGGGTGGGATTAGAGACAGAGAAGCAAGTGAGGAGACACAGAAAACAAAGCAATGATTGTGACATCATTGGATTGAGGCTGAATTAGAGAGAGTTGTTTAAAAAAAAAAATCTAGCTTTTCAGATGCATAAATCTACCCTGAAAGTATTTATGCCCATTTAGTCTTTAATTCGAAGACTGGCGGATGGAGTAATAAGTAATAATGTCAAATGATAACAGGAAACAGGTTTTTATTTTTGCACAGATAGCCAGTATATTTTGGCCAATATCTCAGACTGAATAGCTTCCCAATCCAATTTCTTCCTTCAGCTAGATCCCCTGATGGATACATGTTGTGTTTTGCTACAACAATTTGCTGGAAGCATACAGAGGAGGATAGGGCCGTGCATACTTCAGAAAGGATTGGAACAAGTGCTTCAGACTTCATCTTTTGTTACTAAAATAGCCCAGATGCTTTCAGACTTCTGCACAATCCTGAAAAAAAAAATCATTCCTTAGATAGAAATGTTGTATTAAGTTTAATGTTAACTTCTTAAATAAGTGGCATCAGAAACAGCTCCAGGACCAGTTTTTTTTTTTTAAATAAAAATGACATGAGCTCTGCCCCTTTCATATGCAGCTATGCTTGCAACATCATGATTTTATAATTCTCCAGAGAAATTAATCTGTTATACCAAATGCAAAGAAATTTTTTTCCAGATCATTCCTGAGAGGTTTCCATGATGCTTTGGAAATAACCAGCAGAGTATTTGGTAACTCTGAAGTGGTTTGTTTGACTGGTCCTTTTTTTTTTTGAAAGAACAGGTTGCTGTGCACAAGTCTGTTCAGAAAATATTCCCTTCTTTCTGCTGCTGCTTTTCCAACTCTTAAAAGATTGGGAACTGAAGCAGTCAATAATGACTCAGAGGCAACAGCTGTGCTTTAAAAAAGTCGTCTATAAATGACAATACCTCACAATACCTAGCACACAAGAAAACATGAAGATTCAGACCTCCATTAATGTAGTTTATTTTATTATATTTTATTGATATCCCTCCTTTACTGTTTTTTTATAAATAACTCAAGATACCGGAAAAGATATCGAATACTCTTCCTCTCTCTGGTTTTTTTTTTTTATAAATATAGTTTATTAATTTTTACAATTAAAACCAGTCACAATACATACACAAATAAGCAAAAGAAAGAAAAAGAAAGAAGAGAGAAGAGGAAGAGAGGGAAAGAATTTTGAGAAAAGAAAGAAAAAGAAAGGGGGAAGAAAGAAAGAAAGAGGTTACAAGATAAAAAATTTTACCTGTATATAAAAAAGGTACTATATCAAAGAGAAAAATGTTGGTGCTTTGTCCTCATCCCTAAATAAAATGGTTGTAATAGTAATAAAGTCACACTCCCACAGGAAGATATCAGATGAGTGTACAAAATGAAAATCAACTTTTGTAATTAATTCCATCTTTCTTCTTCAGTGGAGTGCCAGGAATTTTAGTACTATGCCAAGAAAATTCAGGTAAAAGATAGCATCACTTTAACTCTAAGTGAAAACCCTACTCATCTAAACACAGTTCTTGGTTGCGTTCAAGCCAAGAAATGTGAGCAGAATACAATACTAGTTGGAAATGTTATTTTTAGACACTATCGTATTTATTTATTTAGCATAAAGATAATCTTTCCCCACCGTACTTTCTAAACAAATGTAAGGAAAAAAAATGTCTCTAAATGTATTTATCTGGGTTACAAAAATGCCAAGACAAACCTTTTGCATAGCATAGGATTTGTTAATACTTCTTTAGTTTTTTGCATCTATCCTCAAGGTGTTTATGCTCATTTAGTCTTAAATTCAAGGACTGTCAGGTGGAAAGAAAAATAATGTCAAATGATAATAGGAAACTGGATTATTATTTTTTGCACAGATAGCTTTTTCTCACTCATATGAAAAGGGCAGGTGGATGGTGAACAAATAGAACTTTATTTGGTTAATGAAGTTATGTGAAAACTATCCCTATTTCCATCATAGAGATATCTGCCAGAATCATGTCTTTATATTTGCTCTATTGATTGC